GCTGTTCTGATCAACCCAGAGCCAATGCCATGCCCTCACACCACACAAGCAAACATGCTTCTTGGTGCAGCCAGAGCTCTCCAATGCAAATGTTGTTCCATTGCTGCACAAAGCATCCTGTCATCAGCGCTGGGGATTCTTTGGTTTGCTCATATCAGCTTCACTGTACAGCACAGCATGAAGCAGGTCAGGCTCCTGGCTGGCTCCTTCTGCAGCTTTAAGGACACATCCCCCAGGAACACAGCTAACCCCAAGCAGCATGTGCCAGCAGAGGTTTCCCACAGGTGCCTGGCACAGCCACATCCCCCATCCTTGCCTTTCCTGAGTGACTCACTCTGTTTTCTACTATTTTCCCAAGGCTCAAAAATAAATAAATCTGCACCACTATGAAAACCTCAGACAGAATCACAGAATCGTTAAGGTTGGAAAAGACCTCCGAGATCCCCAAGCCCAACCACAGCCCACCCCACCATGCCCACTGCCCACGTCCTTCAGTGCCACATCACCACCACTTTGAACATCTCCAGGGCCAGTGGCTGCCCCACTACTTTGACAGCCTGTGCCATTGCATCACTGCTCTTTGGAGGGGAACTTTTTCCTAACCCATTACTGCACTCTTCAAATGAGATGCTTTGGCCTTAAGCTGTAATCAATTAACTTCATCTTTCTCCTCTTCCTTGTTGACAGGAAAGGCATGGCTTAGATGCAGTAACAGCACCTGGACACCTTTGGTCACATTGGGCAGTGCTAGCCACACTGATTCCCTGCCAGAAATAAATACTCCAAGCTGTCAGGCAGACAGCTGTTGGCTCACCTCAATCTGGTGCACATCCCACACCAGTGGGAAGCACAGCACCGACCTTCTGTGTGCTCTGAAGATTGCCTTTCCTGTTGGATGCTTTCAGGAGGTACTCTGAGCTCAGGAGCACTTATTCTCTCCATCGTCTCCACAGTCTTTAATTAAAATCAAATACCTGCTGTGCCCAGCTGATGAATGAGAAATAATTTTCTTAAATGGTAGTGATGCTTCAGGAGGAATTTCAAGACCACACAGATGAGAATATACAGTGACATATGGTCTTCTGTTGCCTATCATAGGCGTGGCGACCTGGTTCGGGAACGGCACGGCGACCAATCCCAGCTCGCTCGGTCCATCGGCTCGCTGACACCAATGTGGTGGACGGCAAATGGCGTTTATTGGCGGGAAAAATGGCCTTATATAACCTGGGCACTGAACGCTATTGGCTATCGGGAGGGGGACCCTGTCTTCCCGTACAACGCGATATCTTCCGGGCGCCAGACCCTCACTACCTACAGTCTTCAGCTGTCTCCTGAAGCTCTCGGTCACCTATGGCTGTTCCTAAGCAGGAGAACAAACATTGCCGGAAAATGCAGACTGGATGGGAACAGAAATTAAGTTCCTGACTGTTAGAGTGAGAGGTGGAACTGGAATACAAGACTATTGCAGCCAGTAGCACAGGAAGAAATTCCCTCCCATCCTTGAGAAAGCTATAAATGTTACTGCAACCATCATTAGGCTTTACATGAAAGATTATAACTTATATAGTGAGTTTATAGCCTGTAACATTCATTTAGACTTACTGGAAAGCTAATAACTTATAGTCAGCTTGTAATCAAATCTTCCTTAGAGAAACAGTGCTGCAGACAGTGAGGATTTAGAGGTAGTCTGTACAGATGTCTTCACAAAGGAATAAATTAATTTAGCAGTAAGCCAACCCACTCACTCTGCTGACACATAACAACTGATGGAGCTCAGCTGGTCCAGCCCTGACCTCAGCCTCGTGTTTGCTCACTGAACCTCAGAGCCTTTCCAACCAGCTGGAAGAATCCTGCCTGTGACACAGCTCTGTGCTGAGAAAAGGGAAAACTGATGTTTGCCTAAGGAGGTGGAAGCTGCTCCCTGCTTCTGTGCTGCTGGAATATGTGCCTTTGACCTTCCTTACTGCTGCCCTGCACATCTCTGCTGTATTCAGGCATCTGCAGCTTTCCTGCAAGCAGTCCTGGCAAATTATGGGCCATTTGCATGCAGGAAAACTCCTCTGTACAACAGCGGTCATGAACAAGTCCACACACAGCAGAAGCAAAAAGGGAGGAAAATACAAATAGTGCAATGGCTTGCATATGTAATCTGACATCAGCTACTAAACATTACTCTCTCGCCTAGCTATTACTGCTGATCCCAGTGATACAACCACGGCAGATCCATCTGACACTGGGAAGCAAAGGAGAGTTTGATGAGGTAAATTAAGTTAGCTCATGACGTGGTTTTGGTCACACCAACCCCATGCGGTGCCGCAGGCTTGGGGCCAAGCGGCTGGGAGCTGCGTTGAGGCAAAAGCCCTGGGGGCGGTGGGCAACAACCGCTGAACATGAGCCATCAGTGTGCTCAGGTGGCCAAGAAGGTCAGCGGCATTCCTGGCTTGTGTCAGCAGCAGTGCGGTCAGCAGGATCGTCCCTCTGCGCTCAGCACTGTGAGGCTGCACCTCAGGCGCTGCGTTCAGTGCTGGGCCCCTCACTGCCAGATGGGCACTGAGGCTGTGGAGCGTGTGCAGAGAGGGGAACGGAGCTGGAGGGCTCTGGAGCACACTGGGAGCGGCTGAGGGAGCTGGGGTGGGTCAGTGTGGAGAAGAGGAGACTCAGGGTGCCGTGGGTGCCCATCCCTGGAGGTGCCTGAGGCCATGGAATGGGCCCTGAGCAGCTTGAGCTTGGTGGGCCCCCAGCAGGGGTGGTGCTGGGGGTGCTTTATGGTCCCTTCCAACTCGACCATGCTGTGATTCAACAGATTCTGGTGGTTTATTTATTACAGATATATGTGTTGTACTCTTCATCATCTATTTCCATAATGAGGGAGTGTCCTCTCCTGGAAATGGAGCAGTGGGATGGTGGCAGGTGTTAGTGACATGCTAGCTCTTCCACAGCCTGGCAGACTGTCCGCATGTCTCATAGCTCATGCACCATCAGAGGCGATGTCTGAGTTCAGCCTACTCTAAAACCGCCCAGTTTTTGTGTACTTCCGAAGTGTGCAAGTTAAGGACTTAATGTTGTGTTGTTATCTTTTCAGCATCTTCAGTCACACCAGAAATCTCTTCTGTTAGAAAAATTTTAGAATAATGCAACTCTTCATGAGCCCTCATTATTTCTCAAAAGGTGACTGTGTTGTTCAAGTGCTTGTATTGTGACAAGCATCTAATTATGGATCCTTTTTGTAGACCCCCAGAGATGCCATTATGTCCACCTGCAGTAAAAGGGAGAAGATTATCATTTGCATTCAGCATGAGCTTTTTTCCATTGTTTCCACTGCACATAAATAAGGAAAACAAATCTTATCGACCACTGATCCTCTTTCCATTCATCTTACACTTCATTTCTGGAAACAGCAGTTTTGCTTTGCTTCTTTTCCTCTGAGTATTGTTTGCTACTTCAGCACTAACCTGTTTTCTCTTACCTAATTGAATGTGTGGCACCATTGGGCAGTCTGGCCAACCTGACTTGACTAAACAGGTTTCTCATCCTGTGGAAACAAAAGCAAGGCTGGAGGAGATGGCCAAAGGTAAAAGCTTACTCACTAACTGCAAGATATTCGCCATCTTTTTCCTTTCTCTCTTTCCTCTTTTTTTTTTTTTTCTTGGTTCCCCTTTTCTCAAATCTTTCTGGTGACTGAAGTTCTCACCTATGGCTCCCCATCCATCTCTATAAATACCTTGTGCATTTTGGCGCACACTCCTGATATCTGAATTAAAGGATGAGACCAGTGATTGCCTATCCCCCTGCTAGGTCAACATGAGCAGGCAAATCCCAGCTTCCCACCATGGGTTTTTCATTGCATTTCGAAGTTACTTCCACTGGCAAAGAGCAGAGGTTATGAGCTTTGTGGAATGACTTCACTCTACTTGTTTTCTCTTTTAGACCATCTCTTTTAGGCCTTCATGGGAAGATAACATCAGTGAATGTTTTGGTTTCTCATGTTTGGTTTTTGCATAATTCGGGTGACAGTATGCAGCATTTCGCACAGCAGTACCTGATTTGTGTTTGCCATGTTCTGTGCCCAGCAGTGTTATCCTCAGAGTACAGAAATTTCACAGAAAGCAGACAGATTAGTGCAGGGCAAGGATGGACCTGTGCCATGAGTGATGGTCTTTGGTTGGCTTCTTGTTTTTTCCTATTGCATCTGTCAGAAACTTGTGGTTAGCAATGCTTCCTACAAATCCAGCTGTTAAAACACGTTTCAAGTCAATCCAGACCTTTTTGGTTCTTTTTGTTGTTTTGTTTTTTGGGTTTTTTTTGCTGTAACAAACTGAAGGAGCATTGTGGTGTTGGTATGGTGAGCTAACGAAAGATCAATGAAAAGTGACTTAAAAAGAGAAAGCTGGTATGTGTCTTTTTGGCTTATATGTGCTCATTCAATTCTGAAACACATATTTCTTAAGGACAGAGATTTTGGAGGTATGCTGGAATTGTGTTTTCTAAGCCAGCACTGTACCTCCAAGGATACTGGGGCAGCTCTGATTGCTGGTGCCCTGTCTGTACCACATCTTCTGGTAGTCTTTCAGGAACTCAACTTCTGAGCTTGCACAGCAGGGCCAGGGTACACAGGATGCTCTAGGATGGTGCACAAAGATAATATGTATGTATTTTGTATATTTGAGAGCTCCTCTGTCACATCTGCCCCTCTCTTTAGAGGCTCAGCTGCACCTCAGCTACCCCACTATATGCCTATGGATGAACAACCATGTTGGGCACTTGGTGTCATTTTTGCCATTACGCACAAATCACTCTTGATGGAACACTCCTGAGGCCACAAAGGTAATTCACCTTTGTGTAATTTACCCTGTAACGACGTGTCACTGGTCCCCATGGATTTAAATTAAAGGAAACTCAAATCTAATGATTTAAGTTAATGTTTTGTCATGTTTGGGACATCACGCATTTTTCACATTTATGAAGAAAGAAGGCTGTAACACCATTCTGGTGAATAGCTCATGGCCCAGGATGCACTGAAATGGCATTTCCCCTCTGTATCTGCTGTGCAAGATTGGTAGGTTCAGCTAAATACCATACACAGTGCTGTAAATCTACACATCTGCAGTCCTACAAAAGACAGCTTCTGTGCATTTTCACTTGGGAAATGGGAAAGGAGAAGATGCAGTGAAGGCAGCAGTCACTGGAAATATCCATTGTGTGTACAGATGTCATTCCGTATTATTTGTGCCAGGTACAGCAGCTGTCGCTGAGCCTTTCCCTGCTCAGTGCGGTGCGATTTGTTTTGATATCTCTATTCTAGTCAGCTGGGCCATGAGGAATGAGCGCTGAGATCCGTTGCATCGCTCCAGCTTGGCCTTGTCAGGAGCTCAGGGAATTTTTCCCCTTCCCTGCCCACACCTGGGCCCAGGATGGCTTTGAGGAGTGAGTCAGTGATAAACTATTGCCTTGAATCCCTTGAAAAAGGATAGAGGCAGTTAATCCTAAAATGTGCCTCTGGAAGAAGATGCAAAGAAGATGCATAACAAAATGACAGTGAGTTGGGGGTGGTCGCAGGCTGAGTAGCAACACTTGGCTCCACAACCGCCTCTCTGACCATCGTGCTTTCTTTGTTTTCTCTTTTTTGTTGCTGTCTCCTGCAGGCAAGGCCTATGCCCCGGAGTTCTACTATGACACTTACAACCCACTGTGGCAGAACCGGCCCCGTGTGTACTCCTACAGCCTGCAATGGACCCAGATGAACCCCAACGCCGTGGACCGCATCCTCGCCTACCGCCTGGGGATTAGGCAGGTGAGGAGAGGAGCTCCTTCATGCAGGAGGTGCCCGTTGGTTTGCTGACCTCTGCCAGGGCTGCCCAGCCTTATGTTATTTGTTTTGTTCTTTTTTATTTGTTATTTTACTTTGTTCTTTTTTTTTTTTTTTTTTTACTTTTGCTCTGTGTTGTTTATTTTCCTCCCTCTTTCCTTGTTCTGTGAATTGGAGCGGTCTCTCCTCCTTCCAGAAGGTTTGCTGTCATCTTGCAGGTGTGGTCCTCTGCTGTGTGCAGATCCTGGAAGCCAATTTGCACATTTCCAGTGTGAAACGCAGAGATTAAAAGAGCTGCTCCTCAGAGGGTTTGCAGAGGCTGCAGCTTAAAACACATTAGAAAGACTACATAAAAGAAGTTTTCAATGAAATTAAACTCTTTATGTATCTATATATCTTTTATATGATCTATTGTGTTAATAGGTAACTATAGAAGCAGTTGTAGCTTTCCTTCAGAAACATTTAGTTACCCTTGAAAACAGAGCCATCTTCCCTAACCACATTGAAGTTGAGCTCGTATGGGTCTTTGGAGATTCACCAAGAACTTATCAATGGGGTTTGGCTCTCTTGCAAAGGAATTGATAGCCATTACCATTCATTCACCCCTTCACAATTTTAAAAGTATCATCTATCTTCTTTTGATGTGATCACTACAAAGCTTGAATTTTAATAGCCAATTAGAGAACCAATTTGTGCATTGCTTAACTTCATTAAATGAGAACACCTCTCTTTACTCCACTTCATAGGGCAAAATTAATCTTAGTTTGCTTTTGCACTCTCCACCAGCTAAATCAATACCAAAAAAACCACAAATATGTCTTCTGAAGGCAGAAAATGTTTGTGCCACCACCATTTGCTTGTGGTTCTGTCCAAAATATGTCTATGCCGAATGTTACAGATGTGCAAAGACTGATATTGCCAGCTTGATTTTTGGTAGTTTGGGCATTCTCAGGGGAAAAATGCCTGGTCTGGAAATGATGTTTCTTGGTGTGAGCTCCTCCTTGGCTACCATGGTCACCTCTGGATCATATTGGACTTCCTAGCTGCCAACTTTGGGTCCTGAACTCCTGCTTCAAGCCTGGACCTGCTGTCATGAAATTAAGATGTTCCACTGCCAAAATGGGAGAATCCACCTGATGATGTTTGGGGCTTGTTTTGCACTCTCCTGTTGAGCTGGCCTTCCTTAAATTGTGTCTGAATTGATTGCACAAGGAGGTGTTTGGTTACTCAATGGCTGAAATAACAGTCTGTGCAGGGAGACTAGAAATCAGTGTTCAAGACCAGTTCCTGAAGGCACAGATAGTGCAGAGTGGAGGGCAGGAGGTGAAAATCAGTGACTTAATGTTTGTGTCATTCAGAACCAATCACTTTTGTTACTCCCAGTACCCAAGAGGAATTATTATATTTAAAAAAGAATTTGCTGAAGCAAAATAATATATAATGAAATTAGTGGCATTAGGTGTTTTTGCTGCTTTTTTTTTTTTTTTTTCCCCCATTCCATTTTAACTTTTAATTATCAATTTTGTGTGCTTAAAATTAGTTGTGACTTCACTGTAATTACCTCAACAACCCTTTCATCGGGTTAATCAAAACAAGTTTTATTCCTCTGTCTGAAGTCACATTTAAAATGAGAGTGATTTAGAATCTAGCAAGCCATCCGGACACACTCACCCATCACTGCAGTAATTCCCCTGAAACATGGGCAATAATTAACATCCTTCCTTCCCTTTGCACTCTCCACTACTTGTTGCTAGCACACTGCCCTCTGAAATGATGGTGTTTGGATCATTTACTTAGCAGTACTTTTTTATAATGCATTGCAAAACACTGCTAGTGGGTTGGGTCAGTGTTCTGGTGGCTGCTTGTGGTTAGATGGACAGCATTATCTTTGATTTGTAAACTGATTTTGCATTTGGACTGCTGAGACCTGAGTTCCAGTACCAGTTCCTCTTTACCCAGCCTGTATATAGCTATACTGCTTAGCTGAAGGAAGAATCAAAAGGCAGT